CCCCTCCCCCTCCCCTTCCCCTCCCTCCTCTCTCTCCCCGGCAGCCCTCTGCGAGAAGCTCCGCTCCCCCAGCACTTTCTGGGCCCTGAGATATGGCAATGGTAGTTAGCAGCTGGCGAGATCCGCAGGAAGACGTGGCCGGGGGGAACCCAGGCGGCCCCAACCCCGCAGCCCAGCCCGCCCGGGAACAGCAGCAGCAGGCGGGTTCGGCGGCCCCGCACACCCCCCAGACCCCGAGCCAGCCGGGACCTCCGTCCACCCCAGGCACGGCGGGGGACAAGGGGCAAGGCCAGCCCGGCTCGGGCCAAAGCCAGCAACACATTGAGTGTGTGGTGTGCGGGGACAAATCGAGCGGGAAACACTACGGCCAATTCACCTGCGAAGGCTGCAAAAGTTTCTTCAAGAGAAGCGTCCGCAGGAACTTAACTTACACATGCCGTGCCAACAGGAACTGTCCCATAGACCAGCATCACCGCAATCAGTGCCAATATTGCCGCCTCAAGAAGTGTCTCAAAGTGGGCATGAGGCGGGAAGGTGAATATTTCTTCTCTTTTACTTCTAGCTTTGCTGTGTTTTTCTTTTGCTTTCTCTTGTTTTTGCCTCCCCTTCATTCGAAAATACCACCTTATCCTCCACTCTGACCCTCTCCCCTTTCTCCTAGCCATCTCCCCCAGCTTTGCAACCCAGGCTTCGCTTCTGCTGACACCCCCCCAACGACCCCCGTTCTCCACCCACCCCACCCCCCGCCGCGAAATCCCTTTCCTGTACACCCCTCCTTCTACTTATCCTGATGAGGATTTTTTTTTATGATGAGGATTAGAAGAAAAAAAAACCCTCACTCTCAGTTCTGCTGTGTCTTTTCCCCACGCGTGTGTGTGGCTGCTTTAGTATCTGTTGGCATGATGGTTGGGGGGGGCGTGTGGTGTTTTGTTTTGTTTTGTTTTTTGTTTTTTGCAAAGCTATATTTTCTCCATTGCCCCTTTAAAACCTTTATTAAATAGGGGAGGGTAGGAAGGTGGGAAGGGGATCACTTTACAGTAGATTCATTGCTGTCATCATCTTTTCTGAAGCCTGGCTTGCAAAAAGAAGATCGAGATTTATTGCACTTGTAGGTCTTGGGGGGGGGGAGTAAGGGGGAAGGAAATCTGCTCGCATTTAATGGTTCCCTCTCCTATCCAGTGTGCTGCAGTGTGCTTCTCTCCAGATCTGTGGCCTTGTTTTCACTCCTTCTACTTTGAAAGGAAAGTTTGTGACTGATCCCTTCTTTTATAGTTGTGTCATTTTTTAAAAAGCATGTTACTTATTTTATTTCTCCACCAAACTCTACCCTCTGCTTAAATACTCCATACAAATGACAATTTACAACGTATTTACCGTTCCTTCTTATTTCACCATAATGCCTATTCTGCAGCTGGCATGAGCTTCCACACCATTTAAAGCCTGGTTTTGTCAGCACAAGTTTGGATGTTGGATATGCCTCAATTTCATATGGAAAGATATGCTGCACTCTTTTGTAAAGAGATTTAGCAGTTTACAGTTAAAGTTTATCTTCTTACTGTCGTTAAAGATGTCTTATAGTCAAATAAGATAACCAGTCAATTTTGCAGAGTGAAAATTACTCTTTTAATTGGTTTTAAAATTATATTTTATATGCCACAAGAAAAGAAATTGAATTCCCTCAGATCTGGAAGAGCTGGCAAATATGACGACTTCATTTCGTAGCTCCAGGGAGCTTTTTGTAGGCATTTGAAGAAGAAGGGAAAAAAAACCTTTGAATTGTGCTCATTTAATTGAAAAATAACTGCCAAGTTCAAAACTATGCTGAAGTGGGGAAACTATTCTAGCTCCATTAGATTTTAAGGGCTCAAATTGCATTTATTACTTGCACTGAAATTGAGACAAAAGTCAAAGTTAAAGAAACTATGAATTGTTAAATGGTAAAGTAAAATTGTAACTATATGTATATATAAATACACACAAGCATATCAAAATGCATGTGGGGAGGGGGAGCAACCTCAACTTCACTAAAGTTGCCTTTGTTTACTTGACAATTTCAAACGCTGAGACTGTCGAAGTCAAACATACACATACTTTAAAAAAAAAACTTTGTTCAGCTTTAGGAACTCAAAGCATGCTTACGTTTTGCATTCAGATGGTTAATGAATCCAGGATTTTTGCAGTTGCAAGCTAGTGCACTCACTGGGCAAAAGCTGTCTGCAGGGTTTAGCAGTGAGACCGCACAGGACAGACATAAATTATATTTCCTACTTTTTTCAATAATGTTTGGCTACTGTAAGTTCGGATATTTTTTATTTTCATTGAAAATATTCAATCTTTTTGTTGTTTTTAACAGTAAGAACTTTGTCTAATGTGGTGGGTAGGAGACGGAGTGGTACTAGAGATTCACTCTGCTTAAAAGTTGAAAGTGGTTAGTAAGGGTATGTAACATGTATCTATTTTAAAGACAATTTTGTAGCATTTGAGGGTGCTCTGGAAACACTTTATGAGCAAAACACTGATAGTTTGCATATCAGTGTACTTAGGGCACTTGCCTTAGACCGCAACCATTTCGTCTGTTTTTAACCCTGGTTTGTTGAAGTCTGGAGGGGTGAGTGGGGTTTTATTTTCTAAGCATATTTTCTTGGTTATCTTTTCTGGGGTTTGGACAAGTGGTGGTTGAGGTGTGGGGGCAGGACGATGGCTCTTCCTATGAGGTCTTCTTCGGGATTAGTCTGTACTGAGTCTGCAAAGAGAAGAGAGCAGAACGATTGCCGCACTTTTCAAGATTCTGCAGTTGGATGGATTGATACCTGTCTGGATCTATAGACCCCTGTGTAGGACTGCGTGTTTATGTGTGAGTCTGAAAGTATGTGTATGTGTGTGTGTGTGTGTGTGTGTGTGTGTGTGTGTGTGTGTGAGTGTGCGCCTGGGCGTGTGTGTGTCTGCGGGGAGAGGCATTTGCATTGTCTCGGGACCCGCCGCACCGCGTTGAGGAGATGTTTGCAAGCCCCTTGGATGCACATTTCCTCTTCTTTTCTCTTTCTTTTTGTCAGCGGTTCAGCGAGGAAGAATGCCTCCAACCCAACCCAACCCAGGCCAATATGCCCTCACCAATGGGGATCCCCTGAATGGTCACTGCTATCTGTCTGGATACATCTCACTGCTGCTGCGGGCCGAGCCCTACCCTACCTCCCGCTACGGCAGCCAGTGTATGCAGCCCAACAACATCATGGGCATAGAGAACATCTGCGAGCTGGCCGCCCGCCTACTCTTCAGCGCCGTCGAGTGGGCCCGCAACATTCCCTTCTTCCCGGACCTGCAGATCACAGACCAGGTGGCCCTGCTGCGGCTCACGTGGAGCGAGCTGTTTGTCCTCAACGCAGCTCAGTGCTCCATGCCCCTCCACGTGGCCCCGCTGCTGGCCGCAGCGGGCCTGCACGCCTCGCCCATGTCAGCCGACCGGGTCGTGGCCTTCATGGATCACATCCGTATCTTCCAGGAGCAGGTGGAGAAGCTCAAGGCCCTGCACGTCGACTCTGCGGAGTACAGCTGCCTCAAAGCCATCGTCCTCTTTACATCAGGTGAGGGGTGGAGGAGAGAAGGGAGGAGGGAGAGGAGGAAGGGGTGGAGGGAGATGCACAGAGGGAGGGTTGGAGAGGCGGGGGAGTTGCGAGGAGGAGAGGGAGCAAAAGTGCCTGGTAAGAGCGAGAGCCAGCTTGATGCCCCCCTCCCCCGTCACCTCCTCTTCCTCCCCAACCTCCTCACCCTCACCTCCGGTCCGACAACCAGATTGCTGGAGTGAGGGTTGGGGAGGGGGTCGCTGCTTCCAGGTTTGGAGTGGATCTAGGGGTGAGTGGGCCTCTGCTGCTGCTGCTGCTGCTTTCTCAGTTACTGCCGCAGCTTACTCTCACCAGCCCAATCTGGGCAGGAACAGAGGATGTGATGGTCTGGTTAGGGGGTGAAACAAACCAGGCTGACTATCTCTACCTCTGCTCTGTCGGCGTCTGAGTGAGCTTAGGGATCTGAGAGAGAAGAAAAGAGGAGGACTTGAGAATGTTGGTTTCTCTTGTATGGTACTTTAAACTGGATGAATTTCTTGACTGAGATTGTTTACGCGCGCACACACACACACACACACACACACACACACACACACATTAAAAATAAGAGGATAGAGAGAAATAGGGAAATCAGTCCAAATAAATCATAAACAATATCGCTTTGTTGTTGCCAGATTTCCCCTTATCGGAAATCATTCCGATGCTTGCAGTTGCAGATGTTATTGGGATCTTAAAAAAAAAAAAGGATTCGATATAAACAAGAAAGATAAAAAACAAAGCAATACCGTAGAACTCACAAGGACAGTAAGATTGCGCCGGCCCAAAGATAAATCTTTTTACTATGCAAACCCCACCAATATTGGAAATTTAACAGATTGCTGGGGGAAAATATCAAATTAAGTGTAGGCGGTGGTAACTTGAATGTTAACAATCCCTCTTATGATAGATGGTTCAAATTAACTTGTAAGAAAGCGAATTAACATGGCTTTGAAGTGTTCTCATTTTAAACTATGTGAATTCTATACATCTCTTATTATCATATCTTGCAAACAGCAAACATATAAACACCAAAGACAGCAGGTAATAGGGGGAAGTGTAAACAAAGCCAGAAAAGAAGTCATATATATGCATGCAGGGCTGTATAGAGCTTATGTGGTCCTTTTCCACTTACATATTTAGCAGTGTTAGCATCACTGCTATGCGTGTTATTTTTAAATTCTTCCATATAGAGAAAAATAGATTCCTAATAAATCTATCCTAGAGTCAGAATGAGCCAAATGAAAACCATTCTCTAGCAAAGATGGCAAAACCTCCCAAGGCCTTGTTGAACAGTAAGCAATTTATAATCTATCAATATTTGTTGCCTTTCATGTGTGAAAAATAGTATTTACATTGTATTAAAATGACGCTTAAATTTGCACAATATTGTAATGTAGCAAATGGAGTATTAATATCGATTTGAACAACAGATAATTTATTTAGACAGGAGCCCCTAATTTGTATGCAGGGTGGCCAGAGCCATGTACTTTGACTGCCCCCTTTTACTTTCAGTGCAAATGCAGGTCTGCTAGTGGGAGAGGAGTTATTCTTTGCAGGAGGAGAAAGTGCGGACCTTAAAACAAATGGAAGATTTATTGAATAGCCACCTCAATGGTTTGAATGCATTTTATCTTAATAAGTCTTCTTGATGGAAACATGTTTTTCAAAAGTGACAAAGAGGCTTGAAAGCATAGAGCAGGCTGATTTAACTCTGGAGCATGCCTGTAGACTTACCTACTTTTTACACTCATTCACTGTGGAGGTTCCATCAATAAATAGGCCAATCACAGTGAAGTTGATTTTTTTAACCCTATCTAGTGAGGTCCTAGGAAATAGAAATGTGACACTGTGGTGTAGAATGGTCTACTCAGGAGAGATCTCCCCTCCCTTCTTCCACCCCAAAGGCATTGGTTCTACCCATTTTCCAACTCCCTTGAATTTTCTGTTCACATGCCCCTTCTCCGTGTAGCCTAGAGAACTATAGAGTCTACAGTGAAGTCCCTGTAATTATTAACTCTTTTATTTCAACTTTATATTCCTAAACAACAGCGTTAAATCTTTCTTTGCAAAACAAAACAAAAGTTTCCCAAAGAGTTTGCTTGGATGATAACTTACAGGCACAAAGGGTGTCTAGTAAGTTAATAATATTATTACTTTGTTGAGAAAATGAAAGCAGAATATCTGAAAATGGAAATACAGCTGTAAGAAGCAATTCACCCCCTCCCCCATACACACATTTCCACTTTTGACTAAACTTGTTTTGATTGCTAGCCAGAAGGGAATTCATGGGAAGCTTTCTCAAAGTCATCCAACTTTTAAGCAAACTTTGAGTGATGGAAAAAAACACTTTTAGACATTGTCCAAAGAAGTTTGCTAAGGCTAAGTATTTAATGCTGGCAGGGGGGTCCCCTGTTGTGGTTTTTATATTTGGGCCCTGGATGGTTTGTTTAATCCTTAATATTCTGGACATCATCCAAGGACTGAGTCATGACCTGAACTTACTTAGGAAAAAAAAAACTATTAATTCACACACCTAAATATTTCTTCAGATAAATGAGAGCTTTTCTGAAAGCCGTCGTCTAGTTAACATAAATACAATAAATCCATTTTCAGTACAATAATAACTTTGATTTCTAGTTATGGCAGCTGATTACATCTATATTTTCTAAACACTAAACTCTCCTGAATGCACCACATGAAATACATTCTTTACACGACAAAGGCTAAGGCTGTAGAGCCCTGAACAGTAATGGTTATTTATTTACATAATTTCTTTTCCATACAGTGTAGAAGAAATATTGAGCGTCCCCATATTGACACTGCCATATAAAAAGAGAGACACGGATTTTGCACATTATGCCTCCTTTTCTTATCTGAGATATAATTCATGTAGTGTAAATATGTATTGCATTACACTTGCCCCAGCTATCCAAGAGCTGTGGATGCAATAACCTAATCGATCTAAAAGCCTATTCCCTTCTGTTCTCCATTGGTGAAACCCTCTTTCCAGTGAGAAAAGGAAAATTAACTTCCAAAGTCCTAACCCGAGTACTGATCAAGCCAAATCCTTCTTTCTTCAGGAGGGATAGGAGTGCATATCTAAATGGCAGCCCCAGTCTTCATAAAAAAGAAAGCAAAATCGAAACCTAGTTGAGGGAAGGATGCAGCGTTCAATGCCCAACCTTTCCACTTCCTTCAGTCAAGGGTAATAGATGTAGGTTAGCGTCCAGTGACCCTGCACTTTGGCGGGCACTTATCGTAAATATCTGATAAATATTTTACAGACCTTAAGGGGATGACATATGGGTCTTATAAAAAAAATCTGCTATGGTGTTAGGGGGAACCTTTTCATATCATATTGTCTGGACTTGAATAGAATCCTGGGGCATAATAGGGAGATAATACATGTATTGCAATACATGTAAATATGAGCCTGCTTGGTGGCAATCACTGTAGTCTGTTTAGATTCAAGGCCAAGAACAGACCTATGTATTCTTTAGCTAAACAGGGTGCATGTGTTTTGTGTTTGTTTGTTTGTTAATTTTTTCCCAGTAAATCAACTCTATCCTGGATTTTGGTGTTAAAGAGTATGGATTAGCAAAGTAATCTGGCTTGGGTAATTATATATCTGAATATCTGAGAGCAACCTAGTCTGGATCTCAGGTCAAAGGATTCCTTTCTCAGAAGTTCTTGAATTCTAGCTGGTTTTATTTGTGTTTTTTGCTCAAGGCCATGTTCTTGTAGATGAAGGAACTCACAAATCTTTGTATCCAGTTCTTGAAATATAAAGACATAAACTTCAAAAATATAGCCACACCCGGGTTTTGATTTGAATCATTTGTTGTGCCTTTTCAGGGTCATTCTTCTACAGACACAATTTCCCAGTGTCCTTTTGGGGCTATTATCATGCATTAAGACATACATAGATCTATATAGATAGAGTATTAGCAAAGTCTGGCTTTGATCTCTATTAAACCTTCCCACTTAGTAATGGTTCCTCTATGATCCTTATGTTTTAAAAATATTTATTATTGCAATAAGAAACAATGTGGATATTTGAACTATAGGAGTGATTGTGGCTTCCCTTGAAACCACTTTTCTCTACTAAGGAGTCAGCATTAAGTAACCTGATGTTCTGCAATATTATTGTTAAAATAAGGACTCTAGTTGATGTGAGATCAGCAGATAAGGTTTAAGATTATATCATTCTTTGAAGTGTTTTCCTCTCTTCCCTTCTTCAATAAGAATCTTCTCTATGTCTGCTACATTTTAGCTGTTGTTTAGGCACTGCAGCCTTCCTAGCTTTGTGTCTGATAGCTGCAGATGTCTCCTTAGCACACAGCCTGGAGTAACTGAGCCATATTCCTCTAGATTATTGTACAGCTTACAAAGATGTGACCAATTTTCAATTACTTGATCTAAGATACAGATAGAAGTGTGAGCTTTCACCTAGGAATTGCTCTGCGAATTCTTTACATAGGAACCTTAAACCCTATATTGCTGGATGCATTGGACTTGATCTAATTCCCAGCATATCCACAAATGACCGCCTTCCCTCCCCACCCCCCAACCTCCAGCCCTCTACGTGTTTATTTGCTACTCAATCAAGGTTTGGGTCTAGGATTTTGGCTGCTGTTGTTTTGGCTTCTATTGGCTCCAAGATCCATTTAGTTCTTTTTCTGACTGAACATTTCGCTAAGGTTGTTTAACCTCCCCACACACACACACACACACCCGCCTCAAATCAACCGCTAAAGCAATCATTTTAATGAACTGAATACCCTGAAAGATTCTGCCCTTCAGGCTGAAGACAGGTTGCTGTGTGTAGAAAACATGGCTTCAGAGTCTTACATTATTTAATCTAAAGGTGAAGGAGGAAAAACAAAGAGAGGGAGAGGTTGATGTCGTGTGTGTGTGTGTGTGTGTGTGTGTGTGTGTGTGTGTGTGTGTATCTAGATTCTCTAGGCTTGGTGGGGGTTTGATTTATTTTCATATTGTTGGAGGTAGAAAAAAGGAAGAAGGGAGTTGGGGGAGGCATAAGGGAGAAGGATTTTTTTTTTTTGCTTCTGTTTGTGACTCTGCTGCTCACTGTCCTAACTGTTTGCACCCCCCTCCCCCACATGTCTCCTCCCTGTGTGTGGCTGCTCCGGCAGACGCCTGTGGCCTGTCAGATGCCGCCCATATCGAGAGCCTGCAGGAGAAGTCTCAATGCGCCCTGGAGGAGTACGTGAGAAGCCAATACCCCAACCAACCGAGCCGCTTCGGCAAACTGCTGCTGCGGCTGCCTTCTCTGCGCACTGTCTCATCCTCAGTCATTGAGCAGCTCTTCTTCGTTCGCTTGGTAGGTAAAACCCCCATTGAAACTCTCATCAGAGATATGTTACTGTCTGGGAGCAGCTTCAACTGGCCTTACATGTCCATCCAGTGTTCCTAGACCTGAGACAACACCGCCCCTGGTCCCTCAGCCCCCAGTAGAGACACAGAGGACGAGGCTTTGGCCAAGGACACCAAACGCAGACAGAAACTGTTGAACTTGTTAACGCCGGGGTGCAAATGGTGAAAGGTGGGAAGCGAGGGAGGGGAGAGAGGTGAGGGATCGGAGCAGAACCAACCCAGCAGAAATATATATTAAAAAAAAAAAAAGGAAAAGACTCACTTAGGATCAGATCTGTGAACACATTGAAAAGGAAATGAAAAGGACCTTGTGTCTATGGGGGAAAAAATGAAGAAAGGACCATGGGGATTTTAATGAAACAGAAGGAGAATAATGGACCTTCCAGGATTTATTGTGGACTGATGTGTGGATATATTCTGTACAGAAAAAAAAAAAACATCGAAGCGAACTGAAGCCTATGTAGAAACACACAAAAACACTTACCACGAACATTGTTATTCATTTTGTAAAATATTAGTCTTTATTTTCATTTTTTGTAAAAATTTAAAACATCGTATGCGCATAAAGAAAAACAAACAACAATTAGGGGGAAAATAACATTTTCCAAATAATTATAAAAAAGTTGTCCTGTGTCTATGTATCTATATCTGTTTTGTATTTTTTTCTGGTTCCAAACCAGGTTTCCTGTGATTCTATACTAATAATTTTTGATATAACCCTTTGCTTCTTATAATGAGTGCGATATATGTTGTCGAAGCTGTTCTTCAAGAATTAAAATTGAAGTGAGAATTTAAACAAAAATAAAAGATTTAGCAAAAACACATGTCTTGTTGCTTGACACATTTCAAAAGGTAGAGACAAACTCAAAATTACTTTCAGATCTAATTGTCATTAGAATAGAAGAGGAAAGATGTGGGGGTGGGGTTTGAAGAGGATGGACTTTATTAAAGATCCCAGCAAAGTTGAATGGAGACTATACAACTGAAATAAAATCCACTCTGTTGTGTAGATTTTAGAACCAAGCACCCAGGTTCGACAAGTGACTTCAAGGCCAGTGTAAGCTTTTTCACAGTAGTGAGACGGATTTATTCTCTTCATGATTAGCTTATGTTGGTGCCTGGAGGTTTGTAGGCTTAGAGAAGCAGAGAATGTCCTGTTCATAGCACATTTCCACGAAGGGTGCCTTGGAATAGATCTTCGTTTATTGTCCTTTGGCTTGGCGGCAACTCTTGGTAGTTCTACTACTATTGGTGGTGGAATTCGTGGTTGTTCTGGGGGGTCGAGAAAGGTTGTCTATTGCTTTCTGGGAAGGACGGTTTCTCAGGAAGACAGATGGTTGTCCTAGTGCCTTTGAGAGAGAACCTCGAGGAGCTTCAGAAGAATTGGGGACCCAAGGCTGTGTGCTCAGTTACTGCTACACTTTTTGCTGAAAAGATCGGCAGTATTTGTTTTCCTATGTAGTCACGAGTATTGTCATAAAATTATTCCCAGTCTGTTCCTAGGAAAATCTATCGGGAGGATTTCTCTTTGGGTGGCAGAGATGGACCCTCCCTGCTTTCTCTCATGGATGCTTTATGAAATGAGAATTGGAGAGGTGTGCCAAAGCCCCGTTTTTAATTTAGAAACCATTTCCATCATGGTGCCCCTTTGAAGGTAAAGGCTTCACAATGCTGCTTGCTGGTGATGCAGATCTCTGTAACAGCTTTCAGAGCATGAATGTTTTATAGAATCTGAGACAGAGCTGTAAGAACACATACTGCCAAGGGAGCTCTTGCTTAACGTATTAATAAAGCCAGATCTTTAAAAATAACACCCCTCCCCCACCCCCCCATACCCATTCCCAAACATACCCCGATGAGGCAAGAGCTTTCATTTCAGGAGCCAGTAGCAGTGTTTTGCTTTCAAATTACTGTCTATAGTCTCCAGATTTTTTTCTTTTTCTTTTTTATGCATTAACAAGATCCTTCACTCACTTCAACCCACTTGGGGTGTTTAATATTCTAGGTGCAATAGAGCCTGGGCAAGTGGAGCTCTATACAGTAACCAGTCACCAGAAAACTATGGATCAACATCTGGGGGCAGATGTTCTATAGGCTTGTATTCAGTATAGAGAATTTGAGTGTCAACTCAGTAGCAGTTGCGGATGTATGCAGGTTTGTGATTATAAACCAGAACTCACCCAATGGAAATTAAGCACAACTGCCTCTCCCTCCCACTCTTCTCCCACCCCAGGCCTTAGCCCTCAGCCCAGATGCCAGGGCAATAGCTTTGTCCTTGAATTGACTCCCAAGGCAGAATGAGGAGAAATGGAAGAATTGGGCAGGAGGGGAGAGGGGAGATTTAACTCGTAAATTCTGCTCCAGGCAATTTTAAAGAAATGGTTCTGGGCATGTAGTTTTAAAGGTGGAGAAGAGATGAAGCAAGGGGCATGGGGGGAGGTGAGGAGTGGGGAATTGGGTCTGCCTCTAAGCACATACACCCATATCTCCTGATTTTAAAAAAATGAGATGTAAATATATTCATTACAATGGAATCCCTCTGATGAAAACAGATAAACATTTTTGTAGATCAAAATGTATTTTTCTATTAATTTAAATTTGGAGGTTTAAGAACTGTGTGCCCATTGTGAGGTAAAGCATGAGAGCTGTTTTTGAGTTGTGGCATGGGCACTCTTCTCTTGGGGAGGGTGAAGAAGAGGTTCTGACAGTGCTGGAAGTTGGCTCTTGTAGAGGGTTAAGTTCCAAAGTATTTGAGATCAATATATGTTGTACCCTCAACACTTTTCTAAACCCTGCTTTAAGTATATAGAAATACATGCTATTTACCTATGGGAAGAAAGTTTTCCCATATGACCACTGATCCCCTTAGATCATGAGTTTCTTAGATGCAAAGAGAGTCATGGGCCTCTCAGAAGCTTGTGAGCATATCCTTAGTCATAAAGTCTGGCATGGGGCCATTGAAAAATGGAAAGTGAAGTGGGAGAGCAATAGGTCATGGGACTGTCACTTTGTTTCCATTATTGGGGAGTAAGATATTAGTCAGGCTCTCTCTTTCTCTTCTGAGATACTTCTCACTGTCCCCTTCCCTTGCCACCATGGAAATGAATGGTTTAATCTTCATGCTGGAACAAAAGTCCAGAAAATATTTATAACAGTTAAATCTGTTCAAAGCCTCTTGCAAAAATTCTTTTTTCTAGGGAAAAGGAAAGAGAGGACATTGATCCAGTTGTGTGTGTGTGTGTGTGTGTGTGTGTGTGTGTGTGTGTGAGAGAGAGAGAGAGAGAGAGAGAGAGAGAGAGAGAGAGAGAGAGAGAGAGAGAGATTTCTGTATGTCACTATAAGGTTTTAAGTTTTGGAAGTTTTATAACTCTCAGACAAGTAACTGGAAACATAGAACCCCCATGTGCTAATGGAGGGTTTAAGATTTGAGAAAACAACGATCTAAATAGAAAAAGACAACTAAATGAAAGGGTTATGCCTTTTGACTTCCTATGAACTACCTGATCTTCTTCCCTCCTCTTCCAATTAAGTCTGATCTAGTCAATCTAAATATATATCAAGAGGAGTTGACCAATGACAAGTCTTCATCCTCAGTTCGTAATTCTTATCCTCTCAGATTAGCAACAGGGAGAGAGATGGGAGTGTGCTGGCAATGTAGGTGTTAGAAAAGAAGGTGGGGGTGAAGTGAGGGAAAAGATGGGTCTGTAGCCACCTAGCAGCAGGGAAAGGTCAAGGCAGATCTTTTAAATTATTGGCCAAAATTACTGGGATTGTCTTCTTTCATCTCCTTCCCCTTGCTTCTGGGACTCCTCATTTCACTGTCTACCTCCCTATCTCTCAATTCTCTCTGCCTTCCTGGCTAGCTGTCTCAGCGTCATGCTAATTCCTGTTTTCATAATTTCTAGGACACACCCAGCAGTTCCCAGCAGGTGACTGGGCAGAACAGGTGGAGAGCTCCTTCATACTAGTTAGAGTTGAGAAATGTTCAGAAGTTCTCATTTCCCATGCCCAGTCAACCTCTCTAGTGGATCTTGGGACATAGAGATGTCTGGGATAGCATATGAGTGGGGGTGGGGGGGCATGAAATGGGAGATAAAATAAGGAAAAGAAGTCTGCTTGCCCTTCTGAACAAAACACAAATAAATCAAGGGAAATTATCGTATTAGAATGGGGCTTCTTAGGAGGTGTGAACTTAAGTAAATGTAAACAGATAAAGTAAAGATAGTTTAATGTAAAACAAAATCCACTTGCATCCCTCCAGAAGTAAGGAGGAAATGCACCTCCACTGCTGAAAAGCACCCAGTACTAGGTGACAACTTCTCTCTTTAAATAACCTGTGACACGAGAAGGAGGTCAAACACTCCCCTTTCTAACCAAACGCTTGCATAGAACTTTTGTATTAAATAAAAAGAAATGTTCTCAAGATATTCTCTCCCAGGAAATGAAGGAGCTTTACCTCACACTTCCAACGGTCAGATCAATCCTACCCTGAAGGTAAGGCGGGAAGATTCATCCTCCCCCCCAAAAAAACCCCTAATAACTTCTCTTTTGAGGCTAAGGAGGATTTAAAAAGTTTGTCCTCCTTCAAATTTAGTAATAACCAAAGACTTCTTTGACTCCTAGCTCCCTTTCCAACATGAGAGAGCAAGCTCACCAGGCTTCTCTTTTGCGACCTGCTACAGAATGGTCCTTGGATATTGCACTTTCTAAGGCAGAGGCAATCCTTAACTGTTCAGTGTTTTACAGGCTTTTTAAAAAGCTTATTTTAAAACTCATCATCTTCATTATTATCGTGTCACCTTTTTGTTTTTTGAGACTGTGGTTTGATACTCACGCTTGGGGTGGGAGTAAGTCTCCAGGACTAAAGATGTGATGATTTCTGCTATAGGAAACGATGGTAAGGAGTGAAAACAGTATGTGTGTTGGGGAGGGGGCTGGAATCTGGGAACACAAGTGGAAACTAATAAAACTCTTGTTAGAGTGCTTGCTCAGGATCTATGGCGTCACCGGGTCTTTTACTTAGGAAGCCAAAGAGTTTTATTCTTAAATGAGTTAAAGAGCCATTTACCTCTGTCGTGTTCTATTCATCAAGCCACAAGTTGAGGGTTCCTAACATGAAACTATTTGTTTGCTTACACAACCAGCTGGGCGCAATTTCACGTCTGAGATATCTATCTGAAAGCGCCTCTCATTTATTATCCCTCCTTGTCAGCGAATCCATTTTCCAACTTCCCCCTCCTTTTTTTTTTTAATTTATTTATTATGGGGCTTGTTTGCTGGAAGGACCTGGGGCTGAAATCCTCCCCAGAGATTGTCGGTTCCCCTTCCTCAGGACCTTGAGCACCCACATCTGGAGAAAGGAGGAAGCCGCTGGCAAGATCACAAGGGCCACCGCTGACCAAGGTGAAGTAATATTGAAGCTCTTTCAGCAGCAAGGATCTCGTGCGATGGATTCCTTGGGATGTACATGTCTCTGCCTGGGCATTTTTCTACTCTCTAATTCTGGCTGTGTAAGGGGCAACCACCTGTATGGAAGGGAGGGAAAGAAGGAGGGAAGGAGAAAGGGAATTCAGAAAAGAATGAGTGTTGGGGAGGGCATGTTTCATGTGCTTAAGACTTTTTTTTTAAGGCTTTGAGGAATCTTGACCTATTAGGTTCACTTCAGCACAATTGATTTTTTACGGGAGCTGCCGACCTGTGTATCTAAGATGTAGTTTAAACAGTTATGAGACTGGGGGTGGGGGAGGGGGCTCTACATGTCTGTGTGTGAAGAGGGGAAAAGAAGGCTGCATGTGATCTCAATTTTTAAGCTCAAAGAAATAATCGAAGTAGAAATAGATTTACAAATATAATTACAAGAAAATAAAACAATTGACATGGCACAAGGTTACAAACTCTTGCCCCCCCTTTCTTCCCCCAACCTAAATTTTGAGAAATACGCATGATGTGAATAGTGTTTCTATGCGGTGGATCAGACTGACAAGAGAACCACTGTTAGTAATCTCAATGATGGCTGTATAATAGCGTATATACATCTACTTGTCTACAGAACCCCTCCATCAAGCTTAAAGCAATGAATCAAACCCCAAACTACAGGGTATAAAATATCCCCAGTTGTAAAGAAGGGAGGGAAAGAGGGTGGGCTGGTAGGCAGCAGGAGTTGGGGGGGGGGAGGCGGTGGAGAGATTGTGAGGCATTTCTTTTAGAAAGACCAGCCTGGTCGCTACAGGCTATCCTCTTTTTGGTGATTTAGAAAGACACCCGCCATACATAACGTTTAAGACTGATAATATCATTGCACCGCCAGATAAATACAGCACTGGCCAAATCGTTGGGTCAGCTATCGATCTCCATACTCACAGAGGAAAGGGGAGAGAGAGTGTGATTGTCCGGGTATGCGTCTCAGTGTGTTAGCAGAGTAGCATGTTGAGTGTGTGTATGCACGGGTCCTTGTGTGTATGAGTATAAGAGTCTACCAGAAATCCAGCCTTCAGCTGCGCAAAGGCTCATTAGCATTCTTTGCCCATGGACCTGCACTGACAACTAACAGAGATATCCAGCTCACCACTAGGCCTCCTCTCCTTTTGTCTTCACATCTCGAGGAGAAGCAGATTTATGTGGGGAAGCTGTAAAGTGAAGTTCCATGTGGTTTTTGGAGATTCTGCAGTAGAGAAACATTGCCAGCATTTCCCCTCGGGTTTTTTCATTTGCTTTAAAACTTCACTGCTGTAGAGGAAACTTTGATTCTCTATACAATATATGTATGTATGTGTATGTGTGTATATATACATATATACACACATACACACACATATATACATTTCTGTGTCTGTGTACACACACACATATAGGCTTAAACTGTAGAGAAAATATTAGAAAATTTTGTGCTACCTTTATTGATGACTTGCAGATATTTTGTGTATTTTATGCCTCTGTACCTGTTTTGGTGTACTTAAAAATGTATAGTAACTACAGTTGGGGCTTTTTGTTTCATTCTTTATTTTATTGTTAGTGTTATTGTTAATAATAATATATAATATAATATAATATAATAATAATATTTCCAACTTAAAACTATATACTGGCCATTATTATGGTGGTATTGTGTTTACTCATTTTCCCATAAAAAACTATAGTTAGAAAGGAAACATTTTATATCAAGTTTCAGAAATAGATGCTGTTAGTCTAAAACATTTTTTAAAAAATCCTCATTAGTGTGCATGTTTTTTAAAAATATTAATTATAACCCTTTGATACGAAATTATCTTTCAACAGTATTTCAAAGGCATAAAGTTTGAACTCTCCTTGCAATACTAGGTCGTGCTCCTTGAACTTGTATAAAACTGGTCAGATAGTTTTACACTGAGTATACAAATTATCCCATGTTGACAGATGTTTGTCACTTAGTAACTTCTTTCCAAGTTTTTCTCCCCCTCCCCTAAGCCTTCTTTCGAGCGTGCTTTGTTGTTTTAAAATATGCATGTCTCTCACTGGAATGCCAGTCACGAGTGCAAACTTTGTGTCCAACCTCCCACATGAAATGATCCTTTTATAGGGAACTCGATATGTCTCAATCTGCACTTCACTCAAAGCCTCTGGATATGGGGCACTCACTGGTCCCAGCTCCAAAATAATTCAGCAGAAAAGAGTTTTCACCTAAAAAAATCCCCACGAATATCTCCCAGGGAAGAATTATAGCTCCCATAATTAAAGGAGGCAGCGGCCAGAGGGGGAATGCAGCCGGCAACCAAAAAAAGTAAGAGTTTTATTTATTTGCTGATTGAACTTGGGTTGTCATTAACAGCAGGTTCAGCCACACCAAGCGCTTGGAGTTAAGCGTTATATGTTTGCAGGATAGAGGTGCGAGTCTGTGAAGGAAAGGGAGGAGTATAAGTTAAGAGAAGAAAGAATGAAAGAACCCACTGAAACTTTGTGAAAGAAAAAAGTGATCTCTGTAAGACAATTCAGGGAAGTTTCCTTGCATTGGTTTTGCATAAGTAGTTGTAACTCAGGAATTGGCAGGTGGTGGTGTTGGTGGTGGTAGAGAGAGCATTGAAAGGAGGGGTGGAGAAATAGGAACAATGATTCCATGTGATCACTACAAGGAAAACTAAAACTTTCTGCTTCTCAGAAGAAATATGACAGCAGGAAGATTCTAAGTGGGGGGGGTGAGGGGGTGTTGAGGGGCGGAAGCGTTGGTGTAGATCTCCACTTGGAGAGAACTCTAAGAAAAGTTAAAGACTGACAGAACAATTTCACTTAGTTTAGGAGACCTACACCCACGTTGGTAAAAGTTGCCAGTTGGATGGAAACGTGAACTCGGAGACATTTTTTTAACCGTATTTTAATGAGTTTCAAAAATTTAAATCGAGTATGGCACGGGATGCACATTTCTGGATTAGGGAGAGATACTGCAGGCTGCTGAACGACTAACAACCTAAAGGCGTTACAGAGGACTAAATAGGAGTACTCGCGCTGCAGTGTATTTCTATTAAAAAGGCGAAACTTCACAACTGATGGAAAACATGAATTTTTTTTCTCCCTCTCTCTGAAACAGTTACTCTCTTTTACTGATGCGGAGTGACGTCACCAATTGCTTGACCTATCATCTTCGGATAGAGAGAGAGAGAGGAGGAGTGGGGAAAGGGGGAGGGGGAGTGATGGAGGAGAAAGCAAAGAAAGAAAGGGATGGGGGGAGAAAAAGACACAGTTAAGAGACAGTGACAGAGAGACAGAGAACACGAGAAGAGACTTATTAGGAGAGAATGTCCTGTTACTGGGTTTTTGGTGGGCTTTTTTTTTTCCTTTTCTGGCCGAACTTCCGTAAGAAGTGTGCAAAACAATGCTTGAAAAGCTCATGATTGATATGACACCTTTCCCCACTTTCCACTCTATCTACATATTCTAACATATGGAAAGCTTGCAGGCCCTGTGCACTTATAGAAGCTGATAATGCATTAGCTTTCAGCAATATTTACAGCACCACTTTTAATACACACCAGATGGTTTTCGACTGTGCCACCCCAGCCAGCTCGCTCCTAGATTTTACTCAGCAGCATTTTGTTGCAATTATACTCCATGCTGAGACCAATTTTATTGGTGACCTATTTTTCATATTTGCAGTATTTTGTGTTTAAAATCCCCTCCATGGCCTTTTGGGAAAGGGCAATGCTCAGAGAGGAACAGTCTAGGAGTAGTGAGCATAGTTTTAGTGATACAAATTATACCTACATTTCTCCTAGTATAAACAACTATGTATACGTTAATTTTGATCACATAACATATATATGTATAAAATTTTAAGCAGAAAAATACTATGAACATATGTATTCATGGTCCTTGTATTTGTTTAACAACCTTTTTGTTATATCTCTACTGGCTTCATTTGTTTTCCTGAATGTAGATAAATTGGACCATAAATATTGAATACAATTAGTTGTTATGCCACTGACTTAGTCTAGGCACTGGATTACTCAATTTAAGGCAAAAAGAAAAAAAGAAAAGAAATATCCTAGGTGTGTTTCTATGGTAAGAAAGTAGCTAAAAATATTTTTAGTGAGTTGGAATTCCTAAAGGCTGGGTATTTACATCCAGTTAGTTATGATATAGGTATTCAAAAGGAACTCTGTATTTTCTAGAGAAGGTTTGCATGAAAAGAAATCACCCCCAAGACAGAAAATAATGCTCAGTACCTGTTATCTTCCTATGCAGAAGGCCACAGTGAGAATCATATTTGGCATGGAGGGGCAGGCTTTCAACTTTATTTCACACAAGGTAAATAATCTCTAATGTACTACAGAGGGACTTTGTTTTGCATAGAACAATATAAATGCCCAATTTACTACATTGCAGGTGTGTTCTTCCTACACAAACTCTTTTCCCACTTTAATAGGAACTCTTTAATTTTTCCTCTCTCCTGGTAAAACCACAGATGTTTATTTTATTGATATAACCTATACCATAGTTATGCTGAGAATAATATGCCTCAACTAACAGTCATTTAGCAAATAATAGAGGCGTTCTGGATGCTTTCCAACGTTATGCATGTACTTGGTCATAAAATGATACGTGAAAAAAATTAACATCTGCTTTCCTAAAATAAAGTGTGCCAAGCAGCTTTTTATGAATGCTTCCCTCATTTTAAAAAGAAATATGTAGAGATAAACTGGCATCCATATGTATAGCATATTTATAATGGTTTTAGGATTTAAAGGTAGCTATTCATTGCATAAGCTATTTAAAACTGACGTTTTAAAAGCTACTTAACCTCAGACATCCTTGAGTGTTGAAGAAGTATTCCAAATGATATTATTTAAAGAAGAATTTTCTGTAATTTAATTGCATATCAAGGCAGAACTGTGCACGAGCCATATACCTTCTCCTGAGCTTAATAGCATTCTAACTTACATTTTATTTACCTCATTTCTCAGCACGGTTCCCAGGACCTTCAGAAGGCAGAGCTGGAAAGTTTAGTTGGGATTTTTTTGTTGTTGTTGCTGTTTAATTCTACCATTAGGAAATGAGGCATACCTTTGAATTATTTCATTAAGCTTTGGCCTTTTGGGGGAAGGGGTGGGAACTATAATCATTAGTGCCTTTTTATTATTTCTACAATAAATGGCTGGATTCTTTGCTGAATAAGCTGCTTGAATGTTTTGCAGATGTTCCACTTAGACCAGATCTGACCCTCTATTTCCTCCCAAATAAGTCTCTTAAACTCTCCCATCAGTGCCCCTACTCCAAGTCATCCCACCTCAATTCCAACCCCACCCCCACTTTGGCAGGTTTCTAAGTGTGAGACATAGTCAGGAACTCTATGCTATCTACACACACACACACACAACCTCCCACCCACTGAGTATGACAGAACAAGGGAGGGAGGGAGAAAAAGAGTGAAGACATGAGGAAGAAAAGGGAATGGAAGGGGAAACTAGGAAGAACTATAGTCTAATGGTTTATAACTTTAATGTGAAAACTGAGCCTTAACTTGTCCTTCTTTTATTCCAATTGTGACTTTAATCTCCAACCTCTTGGTGTGTCAGAATCTCTTTCTGCAGACTGGAAATGGAAATGTTCATTTGCAAACTGTTCTGAACATCTTTGATGAATGGTGTTAGTTTTGTGGCTTTTCCGTGACAAGGCGAGTTTGACTGGAATAGTTGTGTAGGATACACATATATTTAGAGATTCTGTTAAATACCTAAACTACACACCCACTCTTGTAAACATACATGGGTGTGGGCTTGTGTGTAGTGTAAAGTCTTCATTAACAAAGGACTCTCCTAATAGCAAGATATGTAGCCACGTGACTATACCATATATTGGAGGGAGACCATTTATGACCTTTTTGAGCTCCCCCACACCTGTACACCGGTGAACGTTCAGGCTCTGTGGATGGAAGCCATCTAGTCTTAATGTAAAATGTAGCTTCTTGACTTAAAAAGAATGATCCTGGCCAGGCGGATCCTCCAGTCAATAACTCGCTCAGCTCCAGCTGGAAACTAACGCTCTAGGGAAGACATTATGAATTGCTGGTTGCCGCTTTGTGGCCTACTCTTATTCTGATTAGAGAAGTACTTCTCTGGCTGGTTAGAGAATCAACATCTCTAATCTTTATATTGGTGACTTAAAAACATCTTGGATAGAAATGTGAATTTGGTAGGGAGGGGCGACTTGGGAAAGAGAAGGAAAGAGGGGAGGGGACTCTGTTGTGTATGTGAAAGCTGTCTTGTGGGTGTATAGGAAAGAGGTTAAAGAAATGCCCCCTTTCTGAGTGACAGGACCCCTTCTCAAAGGCCAAACAGGAAAAAAAAATTGTTCCTGATATGAATAGGAGAATTTTCAAGGTTTCACAGATTTTTTTTTGAAAGACCTTTTTTTTTTTAATGGGAAGTAGGAGACTGTACTTGCATAAGTATTTTCATGGGAAGTAGAAAAAGTATTGTCCATTAACTTGCGTCCCCCCTTCCCCCTATCCACTCAGGTTGGTAAAATCAATTAAAATATGTTAAGTGATTTGAAGTTTGGATTTGTGTGGAGTCACTGGACAAACAGTGGAAAAGGCAATTGGGGAGTAGTCGTGCTTTAAGATAGGGGGTCTTTATTTAAAAGTGGTGTATTTGTGGGAAAAGAAAGGGTATATTTTACAACGCTCTCACTATGTCCTGATTAAAAAAAACTCACATTTTTTACTTCTTTCTAGAAAAGAGATAGTGTCCTCATATAAACATCTCTGAAGTGATTATTAGATGCTTCTGTGAGAAATCAGTTTTGGGGAAGGAAAGCACATGGCACACATTTTTAAAAGCCCTGCCCACATCTCAAGTTAGAGAGATTTAATGATATCTTAACCCAAAATCGATCCTTCTGTGAAATATCTGATTGTTTGCTAATTATTTTATTTAAAATTTATTTCCACAGAGTAACATTATTATTTTATTATGAGCTCTCTTTGGTTTTTTTGCACTTGATCAAAAAATATTTTTAGAGAACATGAAATGAAGAACACAAAGACAGTCTCAGTAAAAATAAAAAAGTGGTTCTTTTACTGGGAATTAAAGAAAAACAAAATGTAGATGAAGTATATTGTGAAAACTACTTGAAAGTCTATCCTAATTCCTTTGACCTCAGATATCACTTATATTTGATAATTGGAAGCTTACTGCACAGAGATAAGGCAGACATGATCTGAGAGCCACCCAGATATTTTCCCCTTTGCTAAAACTGGAACTATGCTTGGAGATGGACTCAGCAAAGAACTTAGCGGTTTCACAGATTTTAGACTTAGTAGCAATACAGTCTCTATGAATCTAGAATGTTACCTGCCCATGAAAAAATAGAGATGACTTTTCTCTGCCCTCCCTTAGGGACTACTCCAGGCATCAGAAAGGAGTTCAGATGAGGTTTTCAGCAAGCAACTATATGCCAGGCCATATTCTGAGATTTCCCTGCTATTTGCAAGTCTGTGTATGTTTCATTTGCTATTTACTTTCTGACCTTAGCCTTTCTAGATTACAAAAGTCCCCACAAGTAACAGTAATAAATCCAAACAAAAATAAGACAGATTTCCTCATCGATGTGTAATAAAGTTAAAGGACATTGTTTTGTCAGACAAGCGCTAAGTAGAAAATAAATCTCGGGGTCTGGGGAAACAAAACGGAGCGCTGTTGGCATGTGTGTAAATTTACTTTTAAAAGCAATAAATCAATGTTAAATTAAACAGCTGGGTACCCTATCATGGAGGAGATTTCGTGTTTAAGAAGTACTTGATGGGGAAATGTGCTATTTAACAAGACACCAAAAAAAGCTAAACCTTTACTAGGATCTCAGGCAAAGCATGCCTGTGAACTTCTTCAATGAACTTTAGAAGGAAAGGAGTATGATGGAGTGGGGGGTGGGGGGTGCTCCGTTTTCAGTGCAGGATGGATGGTATGCACAATCCAACTTCAACTCTTTACATGTTTCCCAGGCATAAACAGGCATGGGAGACCTCACAAAAATGCCTTAGATGTTTTCCAAGGTGGTGTTTGTGCAAGCTCTGAAGTCTCTTGCTTTTATTGGCTTAGTTTTGGTTGGGTGTCTTTATTTTTGTAAATACTAAAACCTGTGGAGATGTTTTAATGAGCATGTTGGGCATGTTATTATATGGAGACTCCTTTCTTCTGAGACATCATTGTGCTGTGCAGGAAAATACCAAACTGTGACTACAAAGGGATCTGCTATTTCATATTTATTTCACTGACATTGGAATATCTGTTAACCTCAACTCAGATATGCCAATATTTCCTTTCTCAAGAGTTTAGTTAAGCTCTTGCTTTTCTAAAGGAGAGGAAAAACCCCAAAACAATAGGAAATCCAAGGCTCTGGCATCGTATGCAAAAGCAATATACACCAATAAGTTATCTCATAGGTGATCTTGAATAGCAGGAAATCACAAGCCATTTTGAGATGCATGTGGGTGGAAAGAGAGTATTTCTGACACATAAAATGGAATTTCCGATAGATCTGACACAAAGATTTTAGGAAATTGGTGTAAAGTGTGATAAGTTATTTTCCTCCTTCCTATGCAGATTAGTTGGCCAGAGGGAAATGATGGGAAACTCCTTCAGAGAAAGTATTGGAAAAAGAATCATATTTTACCTCCATTTTAATTCACAAACACAATTGTTTTATTTGCAGACACATAATTAACATAGTTGCAAAGAATATTCCTATCTTAAAGAAACTTTCCTGGAAAGGTTTTCCCTTTTTCCACCTACCCCAAGCTACAAAATAATATAATTTGGACCCTGTCCTTGCCTTCCCTTCAACCAAAGGTAGTAAGGATCTAAAGGGAAATTTCCCGAGAAGACAGAAGCAGTATCATTTGCATTTAGAACATAGTATTTTGTGTTTGCTTATTTTTTTTCAAAGTAAACATATGTATCCTGTCCAGAAGAGAGATTGGGCTACCTGGTAAATTTAGAATTATCTAAGTTCATCTTATCTGTCTCTGCTGTCCCCCAATCCCATTACCATGCATGCACAAATATATATGTGTGTGTATATGTATGTATGTATATATATATATATATATGCACATACACATATTCACACACACATATGTATATATATATAAAATGAGATATATAATTATAGATATGATGGGGGAAACCCAAAGATAGATTATTTTAGTTAAAAAAAGGCAAAGGACAATGACTAGAGGTTGTTTAGGAAAACAGAGCAAAGAGGATATGATCTCATCACCAAAGTGAAATTTATCAGAAAGGGCTTGG